GAGAGAGAGAGAGAGAGGAGATGAAGTTAATTTGTAGGAACTGAAACAAACAAAAACTTTAAAGCCGTGAACAGTTTTGTTTCGGCTGAAATGGCTAATCAAGATCAAAGTAAGATTGCAGAAACATTATGTTACTGTAGTTCTCTTCCATGGTAATAGGTGAGTGAAGTATGTAAGAGAAACCACAGTAGCCACAAAACTCAATAAAAATGCAAAAGGTCCTATCTACAGCTATTGTTTTGTTTGTCCATTCTGGGCTACTGTAGAAAACAGACACAGAAGGTGACTCGCTGCATCTGTAGATAAAAACGTCTCATTCTAAGGTAATGAAAATACAACGATTCCCTACATCCTAATGAAAACATACCTATGAATATTATATTATATTATATTTCTGCCAATAGATCCTCCTTAATGTTACACACTGGAGCTTTAAGATTAGTATAAGGTCCTTAATATATTATTAATCAGTATGCAGTATGGAATTGGGACATAAACTCTAGGATCTGCATTTATAGTGGGAGAAGTTCTTCTAACAGCTTACCTGGGGATGGTGTTGTACGGTTGGGCACTTACAGGTGCTGCAGTCAGACCCATGGCAAGCCTGGCACTTTTCTCATCCTTTTCTAAGATTCTTTTCATCCCGCCATCCAAAAAGTACTCTTGACAGACGCTGCGAAAGTGGAATGAAAGCGTTACTGTGAGGGTGACGACGACATGTCAGGACAGCCCATTGTACAGGTTTAGATGAGTCACGCTTCACTGTCATGAGGTCTAAAACTGCAGCGGAAAGACGCTGGAAGACATTTGAAGTCGGTCGTACCTGCGACACCATTCGATGCGGCCCTCTCCTTCGCAGTTTTTGGTCCAATGGCTGTCAGCAAGATTCTTCATGGCGACGGCGTACTCACTTAGAGTCTGCTCATCCTCGCAGTGCTCGCGCCAGATCTTGTCAAAGTCGCCCACTGAGAAAGATAAAAAGCAAAAGAAAAAAAAAAGTCAGGCTCGAACAAATAAAAACACAACACTAAAACAAAGATCTCACGACTTTCAAAGAGAGCTTAAACCACTGACTCTACTATCATCTTCTTTCAGTCTGACATCACTTCCCAGAGCAAATAGCATTTACAACCTACTTGCCAACTTTGGTCATCCCCTTCAGCACAAAAACATGACAGTACTCCTTTGAAAAAAAAACTAAAAAAGGTCAGGCCACATTTACTGCTGCATTGCCTACATGTTCCCTCGTCTCTGTCGGCACAGAAGTGGAACTGTTCTTTCTAAAAAACCCTCCTCGAATAGCCATTTCACTGTTCGAATAACGTCCACGGAAAAAAATCCCTTCAGCACGTCTTCATAGTTATTCAGAAGTTTACAGCCCGTAGCACTGACGAGGACACTGATAAGGGAGAAATCCCATGACCGCAAGGAAAAACTCGCTATCAGATTTGCAGAAATGAAAAGACAACAAGAGGAGTGGTGGTAAACAGCAGCACTCTGGAAGCATGACTGCTGTGATTCAATGCCAAGCCTACCAGATCATGCTTTACTTATTAACCAATCATGAGGTCTGCTAGCCGAACAACTTCTCTGTGCTGTTGTAGTCTCTAAAAGAAACCTTCAGTCTTTTTTCAAAGCCATCTAACATTGTTTTAACACACTATATTATGGCTGTGTGGTGTTTTTAAGATGGAAAAGTCAGACAGAGCCTACAGACAACAGGACAACCACCAAGCATTTCTGACTACACAGCTGACAGCAGAGAACACATTATTACAAATATGACTTTTGTTTTAAACCAGTAAAAGTCGTCTTGCCTTCCTGTTGTTTACTGTGAGACTTGAGAGCAGGGACATGGTCAAATGCATATTTTTGATTCGGAGACAGTCAAATGAAACAAACGGGCCAGACATTCAAGCAGGAGACAACCTGGATCATTAGTGGTTTTTATACTTGCAAAGTCAGATAAATCCTGCAGCCTACAAACAGTGTTGGTGTGTGACCTGCTACAATGACAAGATAATGAACTCTTATTTATTTTTTAACAATGATTTTGCACCTGCTGTTTTGAATTTGCCTTTTTGTGTCCTCCTCCTACACCGTCTCTGACAAGACTGTACATTTCCTCAGAAATAGAAAATGAGAGTGTGCAGATTCAACAGCACAAAGCCACCGTGTGGGTAGGCATTGTAGTGAGTTTTTAAATCCAGGGCACAGTATTGCTGCTTGGTTGCCTTAAACTACAAACATCCTTCAGTGGCTGGAATAAATCCCTCTGTCAGTGCACTTAAGTGAAATGTCAGTTTCTTCTTTGAGCGGTGAAGATGTCGAGCGCTGACTCTTGGACGTCCTTACGTCAGTGCTGAAGTATTGCTGAAGGGGTTTTCCAAACTTCCCATTTTACATGATGTTCCTATCCAGACTGACTCACAATATGAAAGAGAGATTTTTGCTTTTAGGACAGACAGCCGCTGATAAACACACAGTGAGCCTTGTGGAAATGTTTCACTCACTGGAACACAAACACCCCAAAGTGTGAGAATGAAGCTGTGTTTTGCACCCCTAAAGGTGGATTATAGTCTTATATAATCATTTTATATGCAAATACTTATGGGCTGAGTTCTGTGTGAAGACAGATCCCAGGTAAACGTAGACAACCCACCCTAAAGTGGTATCTGAAGTGCCAGGTTCGACCCTAATTTTATTCATGATGTTCTCAGGTAACACTTTCTAATTTTATACTGACTGAATACGACATCATGATAGACACTATTCATATTATTATACAGAACGTTCACCTCTTGTGCCACCTCCTAACCCTTTAAGGCCTCAACTGTGTGTTTGTGGTCTGTTACATCTGTATGTGTGGGGTACCTTTTGACAATATGTGCTATATGAACTCTAATTCTCAGGCACAACACTAATTTGGAAGCAGCTGCTGCACTAAATGTGTTTGTTCAGTTCAGAGTTATCATTTATTGGCAATAAAGAGGCAATAGAGAGGCAGTCATTGTCAGCAGCTCTGTCTCTCATTAGTAACTTATTAAGGACTCAGTGTCAGTACGCTGGTTTTAGGAGATAATACACGTCTACAGCAGTATAATACTGTACAGTGTATGAATTGCTATTGGGAAGTAGCTTTAAAAGGCCTCGCTTGCTGACTGCAACCCTCACTGCTGCTGACTGCGGTCTGCCTCCAACACAGCTAACAGCTAAGCAGCCTGAACGCAAACACCGTTAACCAGGGGGGCTAACATTAGTTAAACCGAGCCTTTACCGGCATCACCGTTAACGGGAAACGATTTATTGTGTATTTTTGAGCTAACGTGAAGTGTTAGCACTCGGCTGCAGGGCCACAGAGAGACAGAGGGGCCCACTGAGGCTGCTTACCCTCTCTGTATTTCCTACGCAGTTTTCTGTGGACGTTTTTGACGACCCCTGACAGCTTCTCCTGCTCCCTCTTGCACGGTGCTTCGTCTGGAATCGGCATATAAAACAGCTCCAGGTGGTTTTCTGTCTCCCCGGTCTCGACATTGTCCCTGAGGTCCATAGCACCGTCCCGCCGATGCTGCCTCCGCCAGCTCTTCCCCTTTTCTCAGCTGCAAATCGACCGGCGAACCGGTGCACCGGCCAACAACACGCAAGCTGATTGGTGGACTTTGACAGACACGCTCTAGAACTGACAGTCCGTCGTCCAATCACAGGCCTGGAACCGTACCTGACCCTCCGTGCGTGCCATGGAGCGTTTAAGGGAACCCTGTAAATCCTACAACTCCCGAAGTTATCGCAACACCTCTAATGACAGGACAGAAAATTGAGCTGCTTCTGTTAAATATGTTTTAAAGAAAAATGTCAACTTTATATTCAGACAGTTTCTTTCTCTTTAAACAAAAATATACTTCAATTGAAAAAATTACTTAAAACGCTCAGAAAATGTTATATCTGCAACTTATTTGTGCCAATGTATTTTTTATATATATTTTTCTCTATCACATATTAAATGTATTATTATTCAGTAAATTAGTTCCCCCATATATATTTTAATTTCCAATTTTAATGAATATATTACTGATGGATTTATATATATATATTTTTTTCTTGTAAATTACTTACTTACATACTTACTTATTACTTTTGAATATCATAATTAATTGCAAACTAGTCTCTTAGCACAGTTTTAGTACCCTCCCTGCATTACAAAACACATTTATAAAATTCTAAATAAAGTGGATTTGAAAAAAAAAACTAAAAAAGAAACAAATAACATGATATGGAGCCATTTGCTTAAAGGAGGGAATCATATGCCAACACATATTTTTTATTCATAAGATACAAAAAGTATTAATTAAACAGTCATACACACTATAAACTGTTTGATTTAACTAGTTTGAAGGCAGTTAAATTAAGCTATATTCATAACCACATAAATGATCAGTTAAGTCCTCTACTTGCAGAATACTTTAGTCCAAAAACATGCCCAAATGTTTAGTACACCCTACAATGATTTGGTACAGAAACAGCGACACAAAAAACTTGGTTTACAGCCTCAGCAAGTGAGATAATCTGATTAGGCTCAGAAATAGGATGTAGTCTGCACAATAGATTTTGGAGTGTGACTGAACATGAACATGATGTTTTGTTCTGTTCAAGGGGGATAGTGTGGTGTGAGAAGCGATTCTTGAAGCCTTAATAAATAATGTTCCAATCAGTGTGAAAAAATGTATTTATTTGTATAAAACTTAAAAATGTTGGAGTCAGTACAAATGTCAGCCTGACTGGGAGCATTTCAGTCTGGCATGGTAAGCTGACTGTGACTAATAAAAACAAGCAACCATTGTCAAAACAGCTGGGAAAATTGTAGGCTGCCAATGAAATTATTAAATATTCTGTATAACACTGCTGGTTACAGGAAAGCTTTGCCTAATATTAACGACTCTGAACATCCAATCATTTCTGAATTTAAAGTAATGACTTCTAGAAGACACTGTACAACATATTTCTCGCCCTGGACTCATCCACAGATTCATGTTACAGTTTCTACACTGCGATTGTTCTTATTTAAAGATTAATTTGGCATGAAGTGAGAACAATTGTAGCTGTATCTAAAGCTATATTATCCAGGCTGTAGTTATAGATTCTTTTAAACCCGGAGTAGGACATACATGAACTAGTCCTCAATTACAAAACACAGAGCACATGATGGTAACATTGTTGTTTGTTTACTGTAGCTGCAGATACGCCTGCTTCATGCACTGGGATAATGTCATGGATAGGATGTAATTACACCATAAAATCATACTAATATTAGTAGGTATTAATGGAGTGGTATCATGTCAGGTTTCACATAACGGCTTTCATATATTATGTATTCTAATATATTCTATTGGTTTGATTATGTTATTCAGTTT